TGTACCTTTTCGGTCCTGCAATAGAGAGCAGTACCGAGCTGATCGCAGGCTGGCCAGAAAGCTACTTTGTTCGGTAAAAGAAACGTGATGAGGCAGACGGGGTTAAATTAAACCTTGCAGAGATCCAGTTGCTATGAGCAAAAATCACCCAGTGTTTAACAACCTGGTCGCACACGCTGGATATAGACAACGGTGTCTGAAAAAATAATTACGAAATTACGCGGCTCTAGACACACCCAAAAAAAATTTCCAGACCGGAAAAAAAAAAAAGGTCCCCCAAAAATCTCAGTAGAAGTGATCGGTGTCAACCGCGGCTGCTGATCCTTCAGCTTCGCTTTGACACGCAGATCACGTCCATTCTCTCCACAGGTTTCCCAAAATCTCGCTTTTGGAGCCATTCTGTGGGCTTCACCGCACGGAGAGCGATTTGGGGGAGCGGAGAGGGCTCCGCCGCCCGTCCTTGCACCGCTCCGGGGCTGCCCAAGCCCTCTGGAGGCGTTTGAGAGAGGGGCAAGGGGAGGTCAGCGGGTCCTGAGGCTGCCTCGCAGAGCCCGGGCAGTGCAGCCCAGGAGAAATAGCGGGGCTCCCGCAGAACTCGCAAGAAAACAGCCGAGGAGGAGAGCGGGATGCCGGAGTCGCTCTCGCTTCGCTGGAAGTGCAGACGCACCGTGTCAACCCTGGCAAAGCTAAAACGCTTCTCACCCCCTGTTTCCTCACACCCTTCTCCTCCCCAGCTATATCTGGGGGGTTTTATTGTTAAGTTTGTTTTCTGTTGGGTTCTGGTTGTTTTCGGGTTTTTTTTTTTTACTTTTTCCTCTTACTTTTTCCTTTAAGCACAAATGTCTTCTATCCCCTGCCCTTGACATTTGGGGCTTGTGAGCAAGGAGAGCTCTGAAGTGGAGGTTACCACCTCTCTCTTTCCGTGACATCAGGGGGAATTTTACGGGTTCTTTGAAAAATAAAAAATCAGGCAGGCAAAGGCGTTGACTTTATTTGGTGGTGGTTGGCAGCACCCGCCGAGCGCAGAGCCGGAGGTGGCTGCGCCTCCGTGGCTCATCCCCACGGTGAGGAGCAGGGACGCACCCCCGTGTCCATCAGCAAACCCATCTGGTGGGAAACGGGACTTGGGGAAATGCCACCACCCATCGAGAAAAAACTCTTCCCCGACACCCAAAATCTGAGGCAGCGTTTTCCTGCCCCCCCTCCCTGCTTAGGGTCACGGGGAGATGATTTCAATCGCTGTCTCCAAATCTTGCTGGTTTCTTAAGAAGGGAGACCGAACTATCACTGTTGCAGGAAACTCACAGCTGCTAAAAGTTGTCGGTTAAGATCGTCGAATCAACACCCCACCACTACTGTGAAATTGTCTTTAAAAAAAAATAAAGGAAAGGAAATAGGATTTTTCTGTCTCATTATTAAATGCAGTGAGTTGCCGTACTTGGCACATAAAATCCCCCAAAAAGTTTCTATAAATACACCAGTCATAATGATAATGATACCAGGAGCAGCGCTCGGAGAGGTGTGCAAACACGGTAAACGCCTGACCGGAAAATCCAGGCGTTTGGAGCTAAGTTTTGTCGTTTCAGTTCTCCTGCTGATGGCAACGGAGTGTCGATAAACAAGAAGTGAGAATTGAGGGGGAGAGGCAGGGGGCAAGGGAGAGGCGGCCAGCACTGCTTTCCAAAGGCGGAGTTTTCTGAGGTCATTTCATCTCGACTCTTTCGTCTTTCTGAATATCAAAGAAAGCTGACTGGATGATTTTCCCAGTCCCTCGTCTGGCCAGGGTAATGCGGTACCTTGGCGCACAGATTACTTTAATCAAGATGTTAAAATATTCTGAATTCTTCCCCTGACGCTGATTGTGCGTTTAATAAACGGTCAGTGTAACTGTCCAAGCTCTCTGCAAACTGGCTTAAAGTATGAGGCTTGACAATGTGAACATCTGGAGCTTAATCGCTGCTACTTTCATATTACATTACAGGAGAAATATGGAAAGTTGTTTAGTAAGCTTTTAATTGGAACTTCAGAGTTTCCTTCTCTATCGTAAGAGCAATGCAGTGTGCAACATGTAATAACTTTCCCCTATAAAGCATCTATTGTCCCGTGCAGGAAACAATCGGTATCCCTTCAGAAAATAAAGTATAGCTCTTAAAAACTTGGGGAAAAGACCTTGTCTTCCACTTAAACCAGCACTGAGGCAAGCAGTCTGCTCTGTCCGCAAACCTGGTAGGGGAAAAAAAATAAAAAAGGCAGCGGAGGCATTCCTGACGGCAGAAGTGAAACCATCTCGATCCAGGCGACTTTGTTTGTAAACCCGGGAAGCAGCGAGCCCGGGCGGCGGCGGGGGGGGCGGCTCCGCCCGCGGGGTGCGCGGCGGCGGCAGTGGGACCCGCCGGGGCTGGGGCTGCAGCTGCTGACTCAGAACAGCAATGTAGGTCATAACGAGTTTCCTTAAGTTACCTAAGTTCCAACAATTCAGCTTTTCTTCGGAGACTTTCAAAGTGCTGTTGCAACATTTCTGAACGCCGTGACTTTTGCTGAAGCTCAGCCGCCGGCTCCGAGCCACCGGGCTGCGGCGGGGCAGCGCCCGGGGCGGGCATAACCGTTTCGGCACTCACGCCTTTCACATCTCGCTTTTATCATATCTCGCCTATTTCCACCATAACCCTATTTTTTCTTCTTTTTACTCTTTTGTCTCGGAGTGTTAAAAAAAAAAAAGTGCCAACGCTTCGCACTTCCATTTTCTTCTAAATTTTCAGAACAGAAGCAAGCTAATTGCCTACCTACTCTCTACTTAGTTCAGTTCTTTCCAGGAAGGCTTATTCACGGTTCACAGTTTGAATCCATTCTTTTATTACCACTATTTACTACTTTCCACCACCAATCAATTTTTATACCACCAGTTAAAAGGCTATTAAAAGAGCTCAATTTTGCCATGAGTTTTGTATGCAAAAGACGGATCCGTCTTTTGAGTGACACTCAACACTGTAAGTCTTCGAAATAGGTAATTTTCGTTGTTTTTTTTTTTTATTATTTCTTTTTCTCTCTCTCTCTCTCTGTTTGTTTTTTTTCCCAGCCACCAGAGCTGCGAAAGAATAGCCTCAGTCCCCACGGAGAGCCCACAGAAGATGAGCAAGCGTCGTGTTCAGTCGCAAGAGCAGTGAAGTGGGACGGAGATCTGGCGACGAAGTTGTAGAGGAGAGGAAAACCCAACATCAAGGGACACTTCAAGAGAGGAACCACACTAAAGGAATGTATTTTATTCACTCGGAGCTTTCCTCAGGCATTACCTGCTCTCCCCGCTCCTCAAGGAGCTCCCCAGCAAGCAGGGGCCGAGCGTGGGCTGGGGCGGGGCGGGAAGGGGAGATTTCCGAGGGACTCGCACTCTCCCCCAGAAAATCATCATCGCGAAAGCATCCGTTGTCCCGAAGCATAGCTAAGAGGGGAACTTATCCGCCCATAGAACTCACGAAAACAAGGAGCAGGGAAAAAAAATCCAAACCTCGCCCGGTCCGACGGCTGTATTTCTCCTGGGCGCACACATCGCTTACGAGTGCATCACGGGTGCAAGCGGTTGTGCGATCACACAAGCAGTGTCACGGTCACGCATGCCTCCAGCCTTCCTCCTTCCCTCCAGCTCCTCTCTAACCCCGCGGTGACACCCCACTGGCCTGGGTGCTAGCAAGGGAGGATTTCCTCCTCTAAACGTGGAAGGACTTGCCAACCGAGCAGGAATCCCGTAGATGTTTCCCCGAGCATGTTACAAGTAGCAGCACCAGCAGACCCACGGAGCCCCGAGGCCGGAGCCGGGAGCGCTTGACAGGCTCGGGCAAGCCCGGTCCCGGCCTCCGCCCGCCCGAGGCACGGCGGCTCTGCCTCCTGGGGCGGAAGGGACGAGCCCTCGCTCTTCAAAGAAAAAAAAAAAAAAAAAAAAAAAAAAAAAAAAAAAAAAAAAAA